CACAGGCATGATGATGATTGACTCGGTTTCCATTGTCCCACTCACCTCTCCAGCCAATTCCTTGAGGGTTCCAATAAGACCTTCCCTAACAACTTGAGGAGCAGTCACCATCAATGCCCCTGTCATTGATGGGCTGCTGGTGATATGCTCGAGTCTTGATACACACCTGTGACAAGGCCCAGGGAGCACAGTGTTGTGTCAGCAGCCACGTCACAAAAGACAGTTGATTCAAGCAATAGAACAGAAGTCTTTCCACTACCGTTTTCTAAATCCCTTGCTCCATTTGGTGAGCACCAAGAAATACAATGTCTTTCTAGGAAACACTCGCACACTCATTTGGTGACAATGGACTTCCCTTGTTTTTTTCTTGAGAGCTAACCCTTAAGATAATTCTATCTTTCTGGACTCGAAACGTTCCATTCAGCCACACGAGAGGCACCTCAAATTTCATGCCACTGCCGCTGTCACATTTATTTGCTTCCCGAAAAATGAGTTGACATTTGCATAATGCAAGGATGATCTTCTTGCAGCAGAAGCAGCACAATCGTTTGGCAATGCATACGCTTCCACAGTGCCTCCAATTAAAAAGTCCTTCCTTAAAACTTAATTCAGGTAGCTTCGGAGATGACTAGTCCCCCAGAAAACCAAGTTGAAGACTGCCATTCAGGTATCAGTTCCCCTATATTGCCCACTTTCCTATTCTGTTTTCTGAACAACTGTACACTGCACAGCCCATACTGTGAAACACAAGCGTCAACCACAAAATGCCTTCTTGCCAGTTCTTGGTGAAAAACCTCAAACTGGTCATTCCTCTGTTTCTTTCTGTTCCTTCTCGAGGGGGATCTGCCCAGGGTGTGAAGGGATTGAATAATCCGGCTGACAAGCACCAGGGATTTATGGAGAGAGGGTGATGAAGTGTGAAAAAAAAGGGCAACAGGTTCCGTAAACACTCACTCTAGTACTGCATTCCATGCGTCTTGTAAGGCATCCGGCTGAGAGACACACAAGCATAACAGGAAAAAACACAGCATTCACGATGGTCAGAGAAAATACACCGCCATGCTTTTTGTCTTTTGTGCATGTCGACAGTAGTGGAGCGACGCCCAATGGCTTGATGGAATTGGTAAAAGACAACTTACAGCGCAACATAAAACTACGGAGCACACAGACAGCACTCCGTGATCGGAGCAAGTAAAAGCATTTACTGGACTTGCCCAAGCCGAAGATGTGACCGCACATGCAGGCTCATTAAGCAATATACGTTTTAAATGTTTTATAAATGTTTTCATCACCACCTTCAATGTCCTTATGGAATTGGTAAGAGAAAACTTACCCCACAAGACAAAACAACGGAGCAAAAAGACAGCACTCCATGACCCGAACAAGAAAACGCATTGATGGAACTTGCCACCCGATGATGAGACTGCACATGCGTGCTATATATGTTTTAAATGTTTTCATCACCACCTTCAATGTCCTTAAACCTCACACAAACATGCAGATAGGAAGAACAACCTATTTCATCCAGGGGCTTTCTCATTCATGGTCTCAAATGAAAACTCAACTACAAATCAGTAACACATCCTGATAAGTTTATACTGCAGTTCATCCTGGAAGTGCATCCCACAAAACTCGTTATTTCATCCACTGGCTTGCTCGTGATCCCCAACAACTGCTTGAACCACAACTGGCCTACCCGCCATATTATTTTGAATATCCTGAATTCAAGGGAACCTCCCGCAGGGTCGTCTGTAGCACGGTAGAGTCTTGGGCAGAGGTTGCCAACGGGTGGCCGTGACCGTACCCGACCGTACCCAGCCGTAACCGGCAGTTTTGGATGGGGTGCGGGTATGCCTCCGAAGGGTATGCATTGGTCCGGGTGGGTGTGAATATGTGTGAGAATATGGCGGGTGGAATTGGGCAGGGTGAGAAAGTTTCAAGGGGGCATGGCTGGGCGGGGTGGTAGTCTCGATTCCCTGGCTGGGTACGGCTGGGTGGAGGTTTGTCCCGGGTGACCCGAAGCTTGTAGGCCATAAAACTAGTATAGGTACTAGCCTTGTAGGTAGCAGGTAGTGTTAGGGCAAGGCCGCAATATTAATTTAGGGTGGGCCCTTTTCACCAGCAATATGACAGGTATTGGGGTCCTATTAGAAAGAAATAGGCCCCCGCGTTTTATTTTCCTACTGTTGCTCTTTTTCACCTGTAGTGGGACGTGCAAAGCCGCAGACCAAAGGGCCTCAGTCCACTACTCACCAAATGTGTAAAATGGGAATGAATCTTGCGTTACTTCATGAGAAGATTCAGAGTCTTTTTTTTTTGGTCTAAAAGACCAAAAAAAAAGGCTATGAATCTTCCCATGAAGTAACACATTATTCATTCCCATTTCACACATTTGGTAAGTAGTGGAGTGAGCCCGCCCAACCTGTAAAAGACGGGTGCCAGTTGGGTTTCTCCACTGTCATTCGGGACTCTGGCGGCAGCGAGCGAGCAAGGAGGTGCGCTATGCAAGCGTTAGGGCGAGCAGCAGCAACAGCTACAGCAAGGCGAGCGTGGTGGCGCGTGGCTATGCTGGCACAGCAGCAAGCTTGCAACGACGGTGAGCGACGAGCTTGGCACAGCGGCAAGCTTGCAACAGCGGTGCGACGAGCTTGCAGCACTTCGCGGAGAGAGAGAGAGAGAGAGAGAGAGAGAGAGAGAGAGAGAGAGAGAGAGAGAGAGAGAGAGAGTACGCAGTGCCAGTAATCAATGATCCCCTCCCTGGAGCGCTTTGCTGCGAGACCTTATACCGGTTCNGAGAGAGAGAGAGAGAGAGAGAGAGAGAGTACGCAGTGCCAGTAATCAATGATCCCCTCCCTGGAGCGCTTTGCTGCGAGACCTTATACCGGTTCTCCACAGGGTTCTTGTGTTCATCACGCATCTCAACATTATGAACCAGAAAGTCGAACCTCAAACCACCGGTTCGCTATGGACTCCGACCAATGGCGCCTGCATCCCATTCCTTTAAACCTGCCGCTATGTCATTTGTGTTTCTCATCACGTCGTCCTCGTTGACATAGTTGTTCCTCCCCCACTGCTTTGCCTTCGAACACTCACCTCGCTCCGTTGTTGTCGCGTTTTTCTTCTCAGTGTCTTTTCTTTCTTCGGCTTTCCCTTCTTCCTAGCTCTGTGCGCTTTCTTCATTTTCTTCTGCCGTTTAATTTTCCCTCCTTAGGGCATACTCACAGTCTCACACTAGCACTTTTTTACTCATTTCTGGACGGATCTGCGGCCAGATGCATACAGGTCCTGCCGTAAATGCCGTCAGATACATTTAAGATAGTGCTGGTGTGAGTGCGCCCTTAGTTCCGCTTCTGAATGTTACTTCAAAGTTCAAGCTTTTGAATGTCTTATCGAATTATTGAAAACAAAGTTGTCGCGAGTGCGGTGGTTTGAAGATGGAAGTGAATTTCTAACATGCATAGACCTAAGTTTGAAATCGGGGAAAAAAAGAAGTGCATGGTGGGTCGTAAACTTTGGGCATGGGTACGGCCGGGCATGGGTGGATGAAAATTGGTCGTGGGTGCGGCCGGATGCGGGTGGAGAAAATTTAGGCCTGGGTGTCGCTGGGTAGGGGTAAGGATTCTACTGCAGATGCTTGGTGTGGCTGGGCACGGGTACAAAAAAAAATTAATTAGCTCGGGTGGGGTGGGTCTGGGTAAAAAAAAAAAAATGACGTGGGTGGCACTGGGTGCGGGTACACATGATATATGAAGGCTTGGATTGGGTCGGATATGGGTGGGAGGAAAAATTTGTTTGGCGACCTCTGGTCTTGGGTGAAGCTCATTTTTAGAGTCGGGGACAAAACTTCTCAAGCGAAAAGGGAAAAAAAAACAGCCTTGCTACTCTAGAGCTTCAAGGATAACCGACAGCTAGAATAGCTTGAGAGAGGAGGAGGCATGTGGGAAGCAGAGGTAGCATCAACCTGGTCAGCCGTCTCGTGATTCTTCTTACTTCACTTTCTGGGGATTTGTCATACGCAAAATTGGTTAATGCTTAAAAAAAAAAAAAAACTGGCTAGTGCTCCCAGGATAACTTCTGAAAGGCTTTCCACGATTCAGACCCCAAATTCGGATCTCAGGGTCAGATGCCCAGGCCAAGAAAAGGCCGAGTTCGTCAAACTCAGAAAAGTCACAATCGGGTACCTCAGCAGTCTGGTCGAACTGGCACCCAGCAAACAGTCACGCCTCAGGGACAAGAGTCACGTCTCATAATAAAAGCCATTCAGAAGAGTCACATTCCACGAGTGAAAAGGCAGATTCACCAAGCAAGAGTCATGTCTTAAAACAGGAGTCACGTTTCCTAATGAAAAGTCACATTGAAGAGACATCCCACGAGTAAAAGGTAGTATCACAGGCAAAAGTCGTGACCCACAGGCAAGAGACACTGTCCACAGTCAAAAGTCATGTTCACAAGTGAAAACTCGTGACTCAAGGGCCGAGGCAGCAGCAGTCCAATGGAAATTCGGGAAGGTTCCAGGCCTTGACATTCGGTAGCAGACAGGCCGTGGGGATATGGTACCGGAACCAGACAGGACCCTGGCACGAGTTGAAGTGCAAACCAAGACTACAAAAGGACTGGCCAGCCTCACATTCGGGCAGATTGCTCATTCGCAAGAAATGTGGAAGTGCTGGTGCACTTGTGCGCTGAAGTGAGGGGCAGAGCGCTGAGGCCAGAGTGCTGCGCTAAGCGAGGGAGAGAGAGGAAGATAGGCGCTGGCAGGGAGAAGGCAGCCATAGTTGCGCCAGTGCAGAAGTGTTAGTGCTAGTTGTTAGTAGCAGACTCCAGAGGGGTTAGTAGGGTTGACAGTGGGTGTATTCAGAGTAGATCCATGAAGTAGTAGATAGTGAGTGTGAATGCATGTAGGGAGAGAAGACACAGCGAGGTCATAGCTAGGGAGAAGACCAGCAAGGTGGAGAGAAACATAAGAGGGAAGAGCAGAGGGGAAGAGATACTTACCTGAGAGTTTATGCTGATTATTGGCTACCTATTATCATGTGCTGATGAGCGCTGGTGACTTGAACTCTTATTGCTCTTGTAATACTTTCTGGAAAAGATAAGCTGCGCTATCTGGTCTTCATCTCTCTGGTCTCCAGTGTGAATTACGTGTGAACTCATACATGCACGTGGTGTGTATATGTTGCACTCATTGCTGTTGAACTAGGAGGTTCATTGCACTTCGGGTGGAATTGAGGTCCGCGGCCTTGAATTTCAAATTTTCAATGTATTAATAAAATGCCAGTTTATGGGGAAAAAAAAGAAGGGGACAAAAAGAGAAAACGAAAAGGAGATACCTTTCTCGGCCTTTTGGCTAAGATCAAGTGTAGTAGTATCTGTTCTGATCAGTTTAATATCTGATCCGTGGTCCATCGGACCATAAAAAAAAAAAGGGAAAAGAAAAAAAAAGAAAAAAAAAAAGAAAAAGAAAACGTAAAGGAGATACAAACGGAAGAGGCGACAAAACGACATAATAGGAAAAGGTGATAAAGGCGAAAGAATAAGAAGGCAACAAAACAATGCCACAAAACAGGAAAATGCAACAAAACAAAAACGCACAATGAATCAAAACTTCAAAAGAGACGGTTTTTTTATAATATACTCTGTGTACTGTGAATATATGGTGAAGGCAACATGATATCATGAGGCTCAAATGACAGAGACGTCAATTTCCAAACACACAGCTCATCAACGTAGTTTCCTGCCTTACCTCAGCACCGGCCATGGAAAGTAGACTTCGCAAGGCTTCAACATTCTTCGTCCGCATCTCCTTAGGTGCATGGAGAAAAGTGAACCTGAAAGACAAACAATATATTTAGGGATTTGGTGCGAAGAACAATGGAGAGAGCAAACAGCATCGTCGTAGGCATGCATGTCTGACATCTCAGAGATACAAGATAAAAGACGAGCCAAAGCATTTAAAGAGCAGCAGACAGCAGGCCGCCGCTCCTTGGACCAGCTTGACCTAGCTTCAATCATAATCACATAGTAAGCTGCTTTCATAAAGAACATTGCATTTCCGGGGTCAGCTACCTGAGCAAAATGGCTAGCGGCGCCATCCAAAAAGAGAGTTGCGCCATTTCGTTTTTTTTTTTCTTGTACAGGGTGTTTCCTGGCTCGGCGAGGGAGGGGTCAAAAGTACTGGTGCTTTCAAGGCACGTTACGTTGTTCAATCACACTGGACATGACCGAATGAGGCACTGCATAAACAAGAATCTGTCACGGTGAGTTCAGCAGGGCCTTTGAACGATCACAACTTCACACTGATCCAGGAAGTTTCGTGCAAAGCATAGGTCCATGCCGAATGAGGCAGCAAATCTTAAAACTGAAAACGCTGGTTGGGCCTTTATCCCTTCTGTTTCCCCTAACAATATGTCTAGCGCATTGGTTGCACTTCCATCGAGTTCTGCACAGTTGTAGGACAGTTGTAGATGGTCTGTAGAATGCTAAATCGAGACATAAGAGGACCATTAGTTTTGCCTTAGGATATTCACAGCCACCGATGCGCCGCAACTCTTTTCGCAACTCCTGGGCAGAAAGTATCACAGATCCGCCTGGCCACATGGGCCTGGGATAGTGCCTATCAACAACCTCTCGTGCTACTTTTTCAGTCATCATTCATGAAATGCGTCTCCTGGTTCACGGCATTTTCCACACCGAGACTGAACATGCCTACCACAACAGTTTCCACCACATCTGAAGGTATGCCTCATTCAGAGTCTGCGTGAAGATGGGAAGGATTGAAACCTATACCTAATCAGGGACGTCAGAAATGCATATCGCATGGTCTCCATTCCCAGGACCTTTGTCAAGTGAATTCCCAATCGTACCCCTTCCATGCAAAGGGCAACTCGCGACTGCGCCTCACTGTCCTCCATGGTCACACTGAAAGCAGCAAGGAGCGGCCAACCCACGGATTCCACCATTGCACGTGCAAGCTCCGGCTGGGATGCTGTGTAGAACACTCCCTGCACACGAATGCAGACAACGCAGTCAGAACAGAACAAAGAAAGAATATAAACTCTGATGAGAATGGCCACTTTATGAGTAAAAATTTGGTAAGCTCTGCAGTCATCCATGAGCATGCCATCATGCTCATACGTTGAAAAACATTCCGGCGCAAAACACTTCCAAATTACAAGAAGAGACGGCACAGCTCCACCTGCACCGGAAAGGACTATGATGCACGGAATGGCTGGGAGAGAAAGTCAAAGGGTGGGTGGAGGGTAGAAAAATGGAGGAGAAAACAACAACGTTAAAGTTGCCGTGTGTAGGCAGTGTTGTCCGGGCTACGTAGTCCTCTTCTGGTCTCTTCTTGCATTGCTTAAAAACTGATGAGTGACCAGATGGTCATTCGCAGCGTTTAGTCTTTTCCAAGCAGACCTAATGACTGGCAACATGGTATCTTAATGAACTAGCTATCTGGTGTTACATACTGGATTCCACACGGGCCCTGTTAGGCCCGACGGCTAGGTCTAGGAAGTTGTCCCAGACCGTGGCCATGCTGGGCCAGTCCGGCCTGGGTTAAAGGCCGGACCTTTGGAAAGACCGCCTTAGGCCTCCAGCAACCGGATTTAGACCCGGGTCTGCAACTGCAGGCCCTAAACGGGAAACCGGCCCACACGTTTTTGGTTTGGGCCTGGCGGCCGAAGACTGAGGCTGCCACTTCCCCGCGGGTCCAATCTGAACCGCAGATCGATTTGACGGTTCAGATCACGGCGTGGCTTCATTAGCAGCCAGGCCGAACAGGCCACTGCCGGTACTTAGTACCGGCCACCGGTCTGTTCAGGACAGACTTGACGCCGCGGCATCGAGGAACAGCGCTTCAGATGTGAGTTCATATCCATGTTTATCAGTCTTCCGCTATTTGGAGATCTGACACCAGCGGCGTTTCAAGATTCTGTATCTTCGGCATTTCAAGATAATCTCCGACATTTCGAGATTCTGTACCTTCGACATTTCGGGATTACTATTTCGGTGACATTTGTGTTGGTGCCATCTCCCTTCTCCTGCCTTCGTCTCTTCCCCCTACATTTCGTCCGTGTGTGGTTCAAACAGGCCCTGGCGCCATCTTCCATGTTTGGAGCGCGAGACCGTCTCACCCGACGAATGTATGTTTGTGAGTCTGTGTCTAGTCCCAGTCAGATGTGAGTTCATATCCATGTTTATCAGTCTTCCGCTGCATTGTATTGCTCGGTTCTGGGTTCTGCATCATACTTGTGTTCACTTTCACTAGTATGCAACATATGGTCTTCATTTACGATTCTTTTTTTCTTTCTTTTTTAATATGTAATTTTGTCAATCTGACTGCGTCTGGATTCCAACTTGGGTCTGTATTTCAACAGTTCATGGGTGTACCAACTGAGCTAGGCCCGTTAGTCTTCACTTACGATTCTAACAGCGGATTAAAGAAAAAAAGCGCAAAATGCAGGAGAATATATGTAGGCTTGGGGCCCTTGCGATAGCTCATGGTTTTTCTTAGTATGAGCCACTTCCAGACAAGTTTTCGGATTCACTAAGAACTGAATGGAAAGCAACAAACGATGTTCAATACTCTCAAGAGCATACCCGTTTTGCGTTCCCTTTTCGAAACAGAGCTTGCGTCCGCCTCACAATCTCTTCGCTCTCCTGCACATTGCACACAGAAAGGTAAAACATTCAGCAACAAACAGGTTCATTGCCTTAAACCCAAGGACAACATACACAATGTCATCTGTCACGAAATCAGCACCAACTTCATTTTACCTTCTGGAGACTCGTTTGTTATCAACATAATTCAAGGAATTTCCCTTGCTGAAGACATGAACATTCATACCTGAAAACAAGCAAGCGTGATTACACTACCTTGGAAGACACGAATCAGATCTTTAAGCATGCAACATATCACTACATAGCAATGATCAACCTGGACAGGGACTTATCTCAGCAATACAAAGGATTTGTCCACAATTTTCTTTGGCCTAAGAAGGCCTGAGCTTCAGGTACTACTGCTACCTTCGGCATGCCTAACCTTGGTTATAGGCCGAATACAGAGTACCAGACACAATACAATTTCTATAGGGACCCATCAGTCTGAAAGAAGATTCCAGTGACAGGCACTGGTACCGGGCTCAGACAGACACTGGTACCGGGCTCTGACAGGCACTGGGACCGGGCTCACACACACCGGCTGAAGGAAGGGCTGGCAGCCTGCCAGTTGCAATCCATTAAAATTAGCTGCCACCAAGGCAGAAGAAGTTTCTCAGTGAGCATACGACTCCTAGCTGCTGGATTGATTGTCATGTCCCTTGACACCGAAAAGACTGACTTACTCCTGAATTGAGAGAGACTCTAATTCACCTCCGCTCTTCCTAGGATATAACCGGTGCCTGCAAGGGAGGTTCGCTATTTAGGTAGGTTGGCCAGCAATTGAAAAATAGAGTTTCCATGACCCTGGTTGAGGCTGGAGGACAGAATGGAATATGGGAGATAGGAGTGAGTCGAAAGTTCATCTGGTAGTCAGGTGTGTTTGGTGAGAAGTCCCATGTTTGCGGATGGGAATGTAGTAACATAACTACCATCTTCACCCGAATAAAACGGCCGGTCATTATCGCTGCATCCGGTCTTAAAATTGCCCCAAATACAGCTATGAAGACCAGGCATTCAGGTGAAGACAGTAAGTGGTTCATAATGCTCTGAAGAGGATAGGAATAGTAGTAGAAACCTGCCCTTCCATTCAAGTAGGACTACAGGTTAAATTTAGCGACGACTGATTCACAATGCGACACTCCCCGCACGAACTGCCGTTCTTGATGATACAGCAAGATGATATCCAATATATCAAGGAACCTCGCTTTCATGTTGTGAGCCCACACATGCCTGGAGCACATTCCTTGCTCATCCGCACAGGATCAAGGGAAAACGTCTCAAACACTGATGCAGCTAGATACACGATACCTTTTTCGCATCTGCCACACTTGCTCTTCTTGGCAAAGTTAGATTCAGTACGCTGACAATTCGGCTGCATCACAAGAAGAGAACAAACAGAAGAACGTAATGAAATTGTGAGCTCTCAAATGGTGGCAGATTTATTAGCATTCCTTCATGCATTGCTGGCAAAGAGAGCCAAGCAAGTTCTCACCAAATGAGTGTTAGCAACATGAAAACAAATGCAGAAACTTAAGTCTATTGGATCCGTCCAAAATTGTCAGAGCACCAGGGTTGCACACCCCGACGGTCGGCGGCCCTTGACTGGTCGGCACCTAGCAGTCGGGGATCGTCGGCACCCCACACTTTTTTTTTTTTTTTTTTTGGGATCCAGAACCCCTAATAACCCC